TGCTGGAGGGGCTGTGGGTGGGGGAATGGGGTAAATGGGTAAGGGGCATTAAGGAGGACACTTGTTTGGATGCGCACTGGGTGTTATACACAGGGGATGAATCACTAGAATCTACTTCTGAAATCTTTATTTCACTATATGCTAACTCACTTGGATGTACATTAAAAATAAATAAAATAAATAAATAAGAAGATACTTTATAAAATGCAAAAATTAATCTTGTCTAATTTGAAATTAGAATATCTTGTATTACTCTTGAAATTAACATATGATAAAACTTCCAGCCTTTGGTAAAAGCAGTTTCCCAAAGATCTCTAAACATCTTGTGCCCAAATGATCAGCGTCTGCCTGGTTTGAGATCACCTTCTCTGAGGTTTTGCCATTACCGGGTGCCATCAAAGTGCCTCCAGCTACGGAGGATTGTTTCTTGCTCCCCCCAGCATGGTGTCAACCCCATCTGGCCTCATACCCCATTCACTGTGATGTGATTGTAAAATTTCGATGAACAGCTAAACATTTATATCTGACTTAGACAAAACCTAAGTGAATAGAACCATAAGCACATGCAGATAAGTTGAGAGACAACTATCGTCCTGTCCACACCTCAGCGCAGAGACTAAACATAAGTCACTTTGGGGAAAACATTGTCCAACTCCATATTTCACTGCCAGAATAGGAGATAAACCAAAGCCTCTCCAAGCAATAGTGCTCACATTTGTTCAGTGAATTACCATCAAATAACAGTGCTCCTTGAAGAACATGATATGTCAAAGTTCATTATACAAACCAGAACACCATCAAATAATAGTGTTCTTTGAAGAAACACTGATATGTTAAAGTTCTTTATACAAACTAGAGAAAATTTTACTGGCAGAAAATATGAAGTTTGCTATGTAAAATAATGTACATTAACACACACACAAGATACATATACACATTGTGCACATGAACTCTACTGGCGATTTCAAAAGTTTTCTTGTCTGGTTTTTCTTCATGCATTTTGTTCTCTTTAGAGGGCAACATATGAAGAGCAGCAAGTATAAAAAGCTTAAGAAAAAATACAGAAAAATAACATAAAACTGGGATCGTTACATATATATTTATTTTATAAAATGAGGAAAGATGGGCATTATTGAATTTAGCAGTGAAACATTTGAAAACATTTGAAAAAAAGAAACTCAGAATAGCCTTATTACAAAGTACCAGCACTAAGGAAAAACTGTTATGCTATCAGGAAATCCAAGGGGAAGAAGAACAGAAAAGTTTAAATAGACATAAGGACACTCAGTGGATTAAAGATAAAATTTGTATAGCATTTTACAGACTGAAAATGCATTTCCACGTATATTGCAGTTCTGACTGACGTTTACTCCATCATATAAGGAAACTGAGGCAAGGAAAGACATGTCCACCTATAGGCATAGTCCCTGCAGTAACCTCATAGCAGGTGGTGTTCTTAGAGCTGGTCCAGTGAGTCTATTATCCATGGTAGGATTTGATGGAAGCAGAGGGGCCGGCTAAGCTCAAGACCCAGAAGGCGCAAGCTAATACTTGCTTTTAACTCTTCTCTTTCCAGATTTTCTCAACTTGGTTCCAGGATTATATCTTGTGCATAGACACTCAAGTTTCAATTCTCAAGTTCCTTTAAACATCTGAAGTCCAAGTTGCCTTTTTCCTGTTTTGTTTGTTTGTTGTTGTTGCTGTTGTTCTTTTTCTCAGGAGTACTTACCTGTTCAAGATCCCAAATTGTCAGTTATGGTTGATATATATACACAAAGGGAATGAATTTCAGTAACTAAAGAATGATGGCTGTTTCAACAAATTCATCCTCAGTTTTCCAAATCCCAAGTGTTTCAGGTAAAGCCTTTGGTCAACTAATCCATCTTGGCGTGGTGGGCTGGCAGCAGGACTCCCATGTGCCTTAGGACACAGAGCACTTTGTCCCATATCAGGGTTTGGGGTGCCCACAAGATAAGTGCACTAGAGCTCCCTTGGTAAAGAAACCAGTGGGGCCCCTGGATGGCTCAGTCGGTTGAGCGTCCGACTTCGGCTCAGGTCATGATCTCATGTTTGTGAGTTCAATCCCTACATCGGGCTCTGTGCTGATAGCACAGACCCGGAGCCTGCTTCAGATTCTGTGTCTCCCTCTCTCTCTGCCCCTCCCCCACTCATGCTCTGTCTCTCAAAAATAAACATTAAAATAATATAAAAAAAAAAAGAAACCAGTGAAGGAGTCTATGACCAACGTCATTGGTACAGTTTGGAATGATGTGTTTTGTTGTGTTTTGAGTTGGAAGGTCCAGTTAAGAGGCATACTTACCCTGGTAGAAGGTCTATCAACTGTATTCAGAAGACTACAGCTTGTGGGAAGATTTCAAAAGGCAAATGGTGCTAGATCAGAAGGTTGTGCAGGTATGTGCATAGTAGGGGGTAGACATTCTTGTGTAGTTAGAACTTCAAGCCACAGATGCTGGAGTTTTTAAGTGCTGGGGAAGTTCCTAATGTATTTGACCTGGACCTGAGAGTAGATCTAGGCCACTATGGCCCTAAGGAAGTGGTCCTCAAACTCTATGGTCTCAAAACCCCTTTATGTTCAAATTTAATGAAGACTTTGTGCTTTGTTTAGGTGGCTTATATCTGCTAACATGTATTGCGTGTGAAATTAAAATTGAGTCATTTGTAAAATACTTTGTAAAATATTTATTTTTTCATTCATTAAAATACAACATATCAAATAGATGTTAAAATAAATAATACATTTTATGAAAAACAACTATATTTTCAAAGCATAAAACAGTGAAAAGAATGATATTTTATATTTTGTAAATCTATTTAATGTCTGTCTTAATCCAAACAGCTAGATTCTTGTATCTGTTTCTATATTCATCTGTTGTGATACCACACAGCATAGTTTCTGGAAAATGCCACTGTATATTAAGAGAGAATGAGAGAGAGAAGGAAAATAATGGTGTAGTATTATGGAGATATATTTGACGTTATGAACCCCAGAAAGAGTTCTGTGGTCTCTCATGGGTCCCCAAACTACATTTTCATAATACTGTCCTAAGGTTAAGCCTTCAATAGCATTCGACTGGCCATATTCGGTTATGACCATGAGTCTATTTATGGGGTGTGGCTGATCTAAGAAAGCAATAGACCAAGGGAAAATAGTAAATTTGGAAAGACCAAGAACGTGTTGAAAGTCCTAACACAGAAGGAGAGTCTTCACAGTGAAATAATGGACAAGTTGGTAGGTAAGAGAAAAAGTAAACGAACTCTTATCCCAGGGCAGAGACTATCTCTCCTATGCCATATCTTTAAATATGCATCTCCATCTGGGTGATTTATGGTCTACAGAAGAGTTAGAGACTTGTAAGTGAATCTAGTCATTCAGGGTAACAGCATGGGCCCAAGATTATCTCCTAAGTAAGATTAACTGTAATTACCTGGAAGTACTTTTAATAGCTGCAAGTTAAAGTACTTATCAAATTTATAGTAAGACTATCGCTATTGCCTATGGAAGTAGTGGTTGCAAAGTTTAGGAAGTTATGTTTTTAACATCTATAATCACAATTTTATTTCCTATGACAGCAAAAGTAACATATCATATTTTTAATGGAACTATTTCAGTTCCTGGAGTCAAACTATGTACAAGATCTATAATGGTAGCACTTTCCATATCTATAGTTACAGCTAGGATCTGGGATTGTTTTAGAAGCAATAATACTTTCAGGATGTGTAATAGTGAACTGCCATATTGGTAGCCATGGTACATGGAAAAGTCCATAGGAAAAATAAAGAATTATTTGTAACATTGCTAATTAAATTATCTACTATGATATTAATAACTATTGCTTTAGTGGCCATGTGAGTAACACATATCACCAGTGCCATCAGTTATGGTATCATGTCTTATAACCCAAGAATAAGTTAGGCTACTTCAATAACTACATCTAAAGCATTAGTATTTACAGAGCCTAATATAGTGTTATCTGAGATATCAAAATCATCTGTGACATCTCTAGCCAGGATAAATAAAATGTCTACAGTTTAATTTCTAGGATTATAGGAGTTATAATTTTTAAAATAGGAGTATATATTCTGGCTGCAAAAGAAGTATCCACAGCTTCTTTAATTACACTTATAGGGGTGCCTGGGTGGCTCAATCAGTTAAGTGTCAGACTTTTGCTCACGTCATGATCTCACAGTTCATTGGTTCAAGCCCCGCATTGGGCTCTGTGCTGACAGCCAGCTCAGAGCCTGGAGCCTGTTTCAGATTCTGTGTCTCCCTCTCTCTCTGATCCTCCCCTGCTCACACTGTCTCTCTCTCTCTAAGAAATAAATAAAACATTTAAAAAATTTCAATTATACTTATAAAACTAGTCATAGATGCATCTATAGACATATCTGTAATGTCTACAGTGCTCAGAATAGCCATATATGTAAAAGCTTATGTTAATATTTGTGAAAACTTCTGTAGCATAAGATCATGTATCTGTTAATTGATTTTTTATATCTGTAATAGTTGTTCTTTTTAAGTTTGTTTGTTTGTTTGTTTGTTTTGGGGGAGAGAGAGAGAGAGAGAATGTGTATGCACATACAAGATCTGGGGAGGGGCAGACAGAAACTCGGAGAGAGAAAGAAGCCCAAGCAGGCTTTACATTGTCAGTGCAGAGCCCAATGTAGGACTCCATCTCTTGAAATGTGAGATGTGAACTGAGCTGAAATCAAGAGTAAGACATTTAGCTGACTGAGCCAGCTACAGGTGCCCCAGTAATAGTTGATTTAAAGAGATGTCCATAGTAATTATCCTGCTTTGAGTAGTAATCATGGAACTAGAGTAGTATTTATGGTGTTTGCAATGTAAGTAGATACAGAAGCAGAAGCATCCATTGTTCTATCAAGAATGGTAGTATTTAAAGCATATATGGTAATATTTGTAATATCTGTGGTAGCATTAGTTGTGGTAATAGGTAAATAACTAACTGTAGAGTTTGTTGTTACCAGATTGTGAGCTGCTGTGTCTAGAAGAACAGTCATTAATGTGTCTGAGGCTACTGTAGTATTTGGAATAGAAACATGTGTAGTGTTATAAGGAACACTGCTAGAGTTATCTGCATCAGTAATATTTACTGTATGCCCTGTACTGTTTATAGTGTTGGTGGTGGTATTAGCTGTTATACTAGTGCTAGTAGAATAAATATCTGTAGGAGAAGGAGTAGACATTGTAGGAATACTTGTAGGAGATGCTGTAGTAGTATCAGGAATAGTAGTACGAGTTGGAACTTCAATAGTACTTGTAGGGAAAAGAGTGGTTGTGTTAGGAAGAGTAGTAGTAGAATTAGCAGTAATCATAGGGTAAGGTGTAGTGGTATCAGGATGGGTAGTACTAGCTGTAACTTTGGTAATAGTTGTTGGGAAAAGAGTGGTTGTGACAGGAAGAGTACTAGTGCTACCACTGCTACTTGTAGGGGATGGTAGGTGGTATCAGAACTGGTAGTACTAGTTGTAATTTCAATAGTCCTTGTTGGAAAAGGAGATGCTGTAATAGGAAGAATACTAGTGCTAGCAGTAGTGGTACTTGTAGGAGCAGATGTAGTGGTAGCAGAACTAGTAATACTAGTTGTAACTTCAGTAGTACTTTTTGGGAAAGAAATGGTTGTGACAGGAAGAGTACTAGTAGTAGTAGTTGTACTTGTAGGGGCAGGTGTGGTGCTATTAGTATAAGTAGTACTATCTGTAGCTTCTGTCGTACTTGCTTGGAAATGAGTGGCTGTGACAGAAAAAGTACTAGTGCTAGAAAGTTGTGTTTGTATGGGATGGTGTAGTGCTATTAGTAATAGTACTACTATTTGTGGCTTCAGTCGTACTTGCTGGGAAAGGAGCGGTTGTGACAGGATGAGTAC